AATCCCCTAGACTGGCAGTGGGAGTGATATAAGAAGGGAGAAGCAGCAATTGAGAAATAAACAGCTGAAAGAAAAAAAACAAACAATCCCATCAAAAAGTGGGCAAAAGACATGAATAGACAATTCTCAAAAGAAGATATACAAATGGCCAACAAACATATGAAACAATGCTCAACATCATGAATTATCAGGGAAGTGCCAAACCACAATGAGATACCACCTCACTCCTGTGAGAATGGCCATCATCAAAAATAAAAAAATAACAGATACTGGCATGGATGCGGTGAAAAGGGAACACTTTTACACTGCTGGTGGGAATGTAAACTAGTACAACCACTATGGAAAACAGTATGGAGATTCCTTAAAGAACTAAATAGAACTACCGTTTGATCCAGCAATCCCACCACTGGTTATCTACCCAGAGGAAAAGAAGTCATTATACGAAAAAGATACTAGCTCATGCATGTTTATAGCAGCACAATTCACAATCGTAAAAATATGGAACATACATAAATGCCCATCAATCAACAAACGGATAAAGAAAATGTGGTATATATACACCAGGGAATACTACTCAGCCATAAACGGGAAGGAAATAATGGCATTTGCAGCAACCTGGATAGAGCTGAAGATGATTATTCTAAGTGAAGTAACTCAGGAATGGAAAAATATATAACGTATGTTCTCACTTTCAAGCAGGAGGTAAGCTATGAGAATGCAAAGGCATAAGAACGATATAATGGACTTTGGGGACTCAGGGGGAGGGTGGTGAGCAATAAAAGACTACGCATTGGGTACCATGTACACTGCTCAGGTGATGGGTACACCAAAACCTCAGAAATCACCACTAAAGAATTCTTCCATGCAACTAAACACCACCTGTTCCCCCAAAATTATTGAAATAAAAATAAAAATTAAAAAATAAGACATGAACAGCTGACACCAACACAAGATGGCTTTGAACCCCTGAAAATTGCAGGAGAATTGCCAAAGCTAGCAACATCTAACTATCTGAGGGTACAACACGCTAGTATCTCCAAAATGAGCAGTGAAGCATCTGAAAAGTGTCTCTTTTCACACCAAGACATTTATGGAAAAAAAGAGATAAGACATAGAAATGAGGGTGACCCCATTTAGAATCTCAGCTGTTTCCTCTTAGAGGTGTGATCTTGGCCAAGTCACTTAACCAAAGCTTCCTCATCTGTAAAGTGGGAACAACACATAGAATTGTAAAAATCAAAGATGTTAACCATAATGGTTACCTGTATATGATTTTCATAGGCAGATTCTCAAAAACAGAGGCACAGCAGAGATGCCCAATGTGAGAAGGCTTGGCTGGCTTTTTCTTCAATGGTGCCTCCAGGGGAAAGGTAGGAGGTGGGAGGATCCTCATAACATTCATCTGATGCCTTTCCTCTACATATCCTGAGCCCAAGCTGGCCCCTCAGCTCTCTAGCCCCCTGCCTTGCAGGTGACACCCAAGTTTACACTAATTCCACCACTCAAGATGCTTACCATCCCCTTTTCTCCATTCTCCCATACCTAGAAAATTCCTCTTTATCCTTTGGGGTTCCATTCATATGTCACCTCCTTGTGGTGGTGATGGGGTATCTGGTTAACTTCTAGAATTTTTAAAGTGTCTACTACATGAGAAGCACTGTGCTAGGCCACAATGCTTAAAAAAGCAATCACAAGAGAGCCCTGCCAGAAGCAACCTAAGTGTCCATCAACAGATAAATGGATTTTTTAAAATGTGGTAGATATACACAACGGAGTACTATTCAGCCATGAAAAAGAATGAGATCCTGTCATTCCCAGAAACATGAGTGGAACTGGAGGTCATAATGTTAAGTGAAATAACCAGGCACAGAAAGACAAACTTCACATGTTCTCACTTATTTGTGGGAGCTGAAAATTAAAATAATTGAATTCACAGAGATAGAGAATAGAAGGGTGGCTATTGGAGGGTGGGAAGGGTAGCAGAGGAGAAGGAGGGAAGGAGGGATGGTTAATGGGTACAAAAAAATAGAAAGAACGAATAAAACCTAGTAGTTGCTAGTACAACAGGTAACTATAGTCAAAAATAGTGTAAATGTACATTTTAAATAAATAAAACAGTATAATTGGATTATTTGTAACACAAAGGACAATTGCTTGAGGGGATAGATACCCCATTTACCTTGATGTGATTATTATGCATTGCATTCCTGTATCAAAATATGTCCTGTATTCACAAAAATTAAAAATTTAAAAAAGAGTGCCTGCCATCAGGTACCCACAGTGTCATAGAGGTAGGGAGCAGGGAAGCATTTGCCATTGAGAGAAAAGTCGTCATTTCAAGAAAATGAGATATGCTCTTTGATAAAGGCATGTCTAGGGAAACTCCAACTCCTTTTCCTCCTGGGCATATAGCTAAACTATATTTCCCAGTCTCCCCTACAGCTAGATGAGTCGCAAGACTGAGTTCTGGCTTATGGAATATGGGTAGAAGTGACATACCCCACTTCTAGGCCTTCCCACCAAAACCTATACAATCCTCCACCCTCTCTGTTTCTCCATCCTCCAGCTGAATAGAGAAGATGCCAAACATCCACGGGAGAGCAGAGTCACAAGATGAAAGGAGTCTGGGTTCCTGAGTCACTATTTAGAAGAAAGCTCTCTTACACGGACACCCATGTTCAGACTGTTCCATGAGCAGAGGGTACAATTTAGCCAGTGAGTGTTTAGAGGTGCTGGTTATAGCAACTGGCATATCATCATCAATGGAAAATGATCATCAATGGAAAAACATCACCATAGTATGCAAATAAAATACTGTCAGACTTCTCATGATGTGTACGTTGTCTTGAAATCTCACAAGAATACACAGAATACAAGTTGCTTTTTTATGAACTGGTGGTTGCGGGATAAACTGTGTGAAAGATATTTGGGTTTTGGCTTTATTTTTATTTTATTTATTTTTTAAGACAGAGTCTCTCTATGTCACCCAGGTTGGAGTGCAGTGGTGTGACCTTGGCTCACTGCAACCTCCACCTCCTGGGTTCAAGCGATTCTCCCGCCTCAGCCTCCCAAGTAGCTGGGATTACAGGTGCCAGCCACCACACCCAGCTAAATTTTGTATTTTTTTAGTAGAGACAGGGTTTCACCATGTTGGTCAGGTTGGTCTTGAACTCCTGGCCTCAAGTGATCTGCCCGCCTCAGCCTCCCAAAGTGCTGGGATTACAGGTGTAGGCCCCCGTGCTTGGCCAATTTTTGTCTTTATTTTTAAATGAAGTTGTATATGTACTTATGTACTTATGTCTAAGGTGATTTTTCCATCTATGTTTTTTCTACTGTTGTTCCCTATGTTTACATTTGTCCAAGTTATCATTTTGACAAGAATCAGAGTAAAATCTCCCTCCAATCATGGTCTTTTCCACTGTTACGAAAGGTCCTGCAATTACCAAGCAATCATCACGACAGAGATGCTTTTTCTAATAGAGTAAACCAAATTCCAATCTATCCCCTGATTGTAAATTAGGCTTTTTTTGGAAGTAAAATTAATCAGTGTTCAGAAGTACCTACTCTTCTAACACAGATACTAGAAGAAACTGACTCAGGAGGTGAAGGATGAATCTCTAGCAGGCCAAACTCCATCTTTCAATGGAAATTACCACCAAAATTTAAAATGTGCTCCGTAACTCAATGGCATATGAGTAGAAAATCATTAGGGTCATATTTGATAGTATTTGAGAGCTAGGAAGTACTTACAAAGAAATTTCCCAATACAGTGATCCCCTTCTGCTCCCCTAAGAAAAGTTAATCGTAAGATTCTCCTGAGGTACTTGTTTAAAATAAAGATTACTTGGCCTCCCTTCCAGCTCTACTGTATCAGACTCAATGGAGGAGGGCCTTGGAATCTGCATTTTTAACAAGCACCCGAGGTGACGCTGCTGACATTCCTGGCCCATGGAGCAAGGCTCTACCCTGCAATATAATTACCTACCTCTAGATTCAATTTTCATTTAGAAAATTTTCGAAGAATCCTGGCTTATCTCTAAATGACATAATTTTAAGTAAACTGTTTCTTCTCTCCCTTTTCTGTATATTTTCCTCAATGAACACAGATTACTTTTATCATCAGAAATTATCTTAAAAAGAGCAGCAGCTTCTCTCAGGTGTCTAAGTGTTTCTGTAGGGGATAAATGCTACATTTTATTCCTAGAATTGTTGGAAGTGCCTTTTTTAAAAAACATAACTTCTGGCAATATAGCCTTGTCTGAGTCCAAATAAGAAAATATGATTTTAATCATGGCCCAGCAATTAACTCAGTAAAGTGTTTTGTAAACTCGTTGATTCATTTTGTAAACTCTGTGATTCATTTTCTGAAGTCAAAGCTGAATGCCTTAATGAACCTGTAAAATTCTCCTTCCTGGAAATTTTGAAGATTTTTCTTTGTAGTACTAAACTAGCAAAGCAACAAATTCTAAAACATTCTTTAAAATAAGAAAACCCTGGCAGTTCCTAAAGTTGTTTTATCAGTGCAATTTTTCTACCGCTCTCAAAGTGGTCTTGTGTCTTTCAATACAGATACTTTTGTTTATTGCCAGAAAGTGACTTACTGGTTAAAAAGGAACCAGAAAAAATAAATAAATAAATAAATAAAAGGCAGCAAAAGATTGAGAATGAACTGGGGAAAAAAAAGATGTTCACACAGAAATTTTAGAAAATAACATAATTATATAACTTGTTCCCCAAGCTCATAAACAATTTAGGATCTCGAAGAGAACAGCATGGAGAAAGACCAGAAATAAAGGAGAAAAACATTTGTTATCATTGCAGCAAGTAAATTACACCAGACAATGGTTTTGGCCAGTTCATCACAAAGGATACCGGGATTTTCCTATGACTCTTTTGATGTGACATTCTTTAAAAACAGTTTCCAAAGAAAGTGAGAAGGGAAGCCCTTATAATTTAAAGAAAACACAAAAGTCACAGTAAAATTCACATAAAGTTCTTACTTCTTTCTCTCGGACCCTAATATCCTAAACAAATCTTTAAAGTACTGCGGGACGCGGACCACCACATTCTCGGAGGGGCTGATGTCTTTCAGGTGGGGGTAGAGTCTGGTGTCAATGACCTTCTTGATATAGCCCAGCCAGTCAAACTGAGGGGAGAGAGAACAAAACAGAATGAGAGAACCTCTGTTAGGTAGCAAGTAAGAAAGGCAAATAGAATAGATTGAGTGTCATTCATTTCTTTTGATTTCACACCTAATAATTCAAGATGCAACTACTCAAGTCTAGAAAATAAACTCCTGATCATTGCTATTCAGATCTATTGTCTTTTTTTTAGACAGTCTCGCTCTATCACCCAGGCTGGAGTGCAGTGGCATGATCTGGGCTCTGCCTCCTGGGTTCAAGCAATTCTCCTGCCACAGCCTCTGGAATTACAGGCGCCTGCCACCATGCCTGGTTAATTTTTGTATTTTTAGTAGAGGTAGAATTTCACCATGTTGGCCAGGCTGGTCTCGAACTCCTGACCTCAAGTGATCCACCCACCTCGGCCTCCCAAAGTGCTGGGATTACAGGTGTGAGCCACCGTATTCGGCCTGATCTATTGTCTTAATCACAAATGGAGCATGTGTTCTGTACCATCTACATCTGGACAACACACACACACACACACACACACACACACACACACACACGAACACAGTAATATGCACCCTCACTCCCTTGGCCCCCTCTAGTACTCTTCCTCCTTCCTGAACTCTCCCCTCTGTCTTTCTCTCCCCATTCTGCTCTCTCTCCCCGTCCTGTACTCTTCTTCTATTCTATACTCTCTTTTTTCCTCCCGTACTCTTCCCTCCTTCTCTCTTGCATTTCTCTTCCTCCTTCTAAATTCTTTCTCTATACTGTACATTTTCTCTCCCTCCCTCACTTTCTCTGTCCTGTACTCTCCCTCACTCTCATATATACACAGAAACAGATGCCCCAGTACATAACTAGTCTCTGTGACACAGCCTTTAAAAAAAAAAAAAGAGGAAATAAGCAGCAACAGAAAGTAAATGCGGCCAGGCATGGTAGCTCACGCCTGTAATCCCAGTACTTTGGGAGGCCGAGGCAGGGGGATCATTTGAGGTCAGGAGTTTGAGACCAGCCTGCCCAATCCCGTCTCTATTAAAAATACAAAAAATTAGCTAGGTGTGGAAGCAGGCACCTGTAATCCCAGCTACTTGGGAGGCTAAGGCAGGAGGTTGCAGTGAACCCGGCAGAGGTTGCAGTGAGCCAAGATCACGCCACTGCACTCCAGCCTGGGCAACACAGCAAGACTGTGTCTCAAAAAAACAAACAAAAACACAGAAAGTAACATGCCTCCATTCTTCAGAGCATCCCTATCTTACCTAAAACACCATATGGTGTTTCTTAGATTGGCTACTCTAAAAGTCTTTTCCCAACCTTTTCTCCGTTACCTGTGTCCACTGTTGAAATGGAAAACCAGTTACTCACTTGCCCAACCTCCCCGGTGGTTAGGAGTGGCCACGTGACCCAATCCTACTCAATAAGAAATAAAGGGAAGACATCTGGAGATGTTCTGGAAAGGTCTGTTTGTTTTTCCTAGTAAAAGAGTTAGACACATCACTGGCCCTTTCCCCTTCTTCCTGCTCTGACACAGATGTGATATATGGAGCTGTCATGGATACCTTGCAACCATGAGTCATCAAACATGAAGTCAAAAAGCCAACACACTAAACAGAGTAGGATACAAAGATAGGAAGAACTTGGGCCTTTGACAACACTGTTAAACAGCTGAGCCAATGCCAACAATTACCTATGTCTAGACTTTTGTCATGTGAGAAAATAGGCTTTAAGTTTCTAAGCCACTGTGGAAAGATGTTTTGTTCCCTATAACAGAAGGCATCCCAATACACAGACAAGGGATATTTTATGTGATTGTTGACAAAGATGATGATAACCAAGACTGGGAGTAGGTTTTACAAGACAGAAATTTACACACAGATGAAATCCAATCCCTTCTAAAATGACCAGTTGAGAGAAAGTTTTCTGGATAGTTTTCACCAACCTGGGGAATCATAGCACTCAGTTCAGAAATGTTCATTTTGTTGTACATGGCCTCACTGGTTCGGTTTTCATGAGGAATCATTATCTGTTGGAAAGAGATTTTGGTTATCTTTTTTTCAAGTGAACCATTTCTTACTGTATGATTACTTCCTACATGTGCCAAAACATCTGCATAGTATTATAAAGTTTTTCAGGGCTTTGGTGTGGTGCCCAACTTCGAGGGAGAGAAAAAAAGACATAACTTTAGGCAGGATTAAGAAAATAAACTTTCATATCCTCCTCTGCATCAAATATTGTCCCCAGCACAAAAAGAACTACCCAAAATCTCCCTCCCAATCTATAATGTGGATGGGCAAAATCTATTGCTGGGTCAATTTTGACAATTAAACTTAAGTTGGACAATTGAGGTAAACATCCCACTGTCACCTGTGGTCTCCAAATAATGATCTCAATATTTCATGAACCATCGACTATCCCTTCATCTCTAGGGGCAAATTTTCACTGATGAACACAAGACTATCCGGATGCCACTGTTCCCCGTGATCATTCTGTCAACAGCTCATTCCCTCATTTCCCCTTTTGTTTCTTTGACCTTGAGATTTCCCTAGCCCCATTGCTGGGAGTATGGATTCAGTCACTGCCTATTCACACATTTCAAAACCTGCCTCTCTCCAGCCCTGACTCTATACTCTTTCCATTCCCAATACTCATGCTCTTGGTCATTTGGCCAACACCAAATCTGAGCTTCTAGCCTCCACTATGTTTAACTTAAGAAGAACAGCAATGATTATCTTCCTGAAGGATCATCTTAATCACTTCCATTGACCAGCAGTAGCTCCCATATCCACCCTTCAATCACATCATGACTCTGCCTTCGGGCCTTCCATCATCTAATTCCCTTGCATTAAACTTGCCACATTTCCACTGCACACATGACTCTCCTACTCTTACATCTCCTATCCACCATCACCACCTCCATGGTTTGAACTATGACTCAGGACTGCCCAAGATTCACTGCTTCTAGCAAGCCTTTCCAATAACACTCCACTTGGTTCCAATCACAAGGGCTACTCCATCAATAAGACCTCTCCTTGTGCACACATCTCTCCAGCTGGATTGGCTAAGTATATGCTTCCATGGCTGTATTTACAAGGACTTATTTGTGCTAGACTGGACTGTCTTGTCTTCTCAGCTTCAGAAGTTTCCCTAGGACTACATATCCCACTAATTTTGAAAATACCTAGTGATGTGTAGTGTAAGATATGGAGGTAAGCATTACTAGCAGTGATTTTTCAAGGTAAAGATTACGGAGGGCTTACTGGCAGGTATCTGCCCCCTCTTTGCTAAATGCTTCAGTGTCCTTAGCTTCCCTTTCTTCACTCTCCACAGGAGAGACCACACGTAACTTACAAACAGCCTCCTGGCTCTGTGTGAATCATTGCCTCAGAGAATATCCACACTCCTCTTCCACCAGCCCCTCCTCTGCCCTCGGACTCTCACAGCCCCAAGTTGGAGACCTTTGGCCTCAGAGCTGTTTTCAGCTCTCTGCCAGCCACTCCCCTCCACACAACAGATTTGTCACTTCATTTAGCCTCTTGACAATTCCCAGTCTTGCCTCAGCCCAGCTGTTTTTAGTTCCCTTTTTGGTCCAAATCCCTGGCTCAGGGCAAGGCCTTCCCTGCTGTTTCAGAGTTCTAGTCCAAATGAGAGTTCTGGGCCTCCTATGTGCCTGGAAAGAGAATTCAGGCAGACTCTAGACATGGCTCAGAGGCACAGTCATGGACCTCGAGACACGTGCAGCAGTCTTCACAGTCTTCAAAGGTGACATGCAGGAATGAACTTCTTGCACTACAAGTAGGAGTTTGGAGAGAGCTGTACACGAACATCATCACAGCAAAGACAGAGAGACCAATTCCTCTTTACCCTTATCCTTCATCCCTACTCCCATACCTCAACACACCACCAGCACCTCGCCAAACAAAACCAATCAACATTTGGACTCTTATTCACCTTGAGATTTTTACTAACTTCTCTTGTGGAAGATTTCCAACACATGTGCAAAAGTTGCTTGGTAAAAAGTATCATTTTCTTTCACTACAGGGTTTCCCCAGAAGCAGATTTTACCACATTTGTTCCCTCTTGGCCTAGGAACATATAGAGAGATTTTTACACTTTGTTTCTTCTAGAAAAAAGTTACTCCATAAACAAAGCTAACCATTTAGGAGTTCTCATTATTTTGCCCATAAGTTTGTTTTTACATCTTTTTGTCTCTACAATGAGGCAAAAAGAAGTTAAGGTCATTTACACAGACATGTAGCTCTGTGTCATGCATATGACACAATGATATTCATTAAAGTAGCGCAAGAAAAGAATGAAAAAACAGGGGCAGATACAAAGTAATACCAGAAAGGTCATTTAAAAACGTTTACCAACATGTCCTACCTACTTCTATATCAACTTTTATATCCCGTATTGGTGGACAGACTTCCCTGAGCCCACAACTTAAGCCAGAATGACTCTGAGTGGGGATAGCATAAAACATGGACTGGATTAAAAGCAACCTTCCATTCAAGCCAGATTACTAAGGATTTATTAAACATCTATCTTCTATTTAAGCCAAACATGAGTTTCTCCAGGAAAAACGGTCAGAGGGTCTCTCTGCTGCTATTCTTTGGCCACAGCTGAGCAACATATGGACACTGAATGGGCTCAAGCCAGGGAGGTGGAAGGAATGAAGAGCTCTTCTGTCACAATCCTTCTTGTTACTTCCTAGAGGCGATGCTACTAGTTCTACCTTAGGCCCAAAGGGCAATGACAGAAAATACTATTATTTGATTGCAATTTATATTTTCATTCAGGATATACTGCCTTTAATATACGGAAAAGAAAAGAAAGTAAAGGAAAGAAAGAGATTTTCAGTGAAGACTTACCTCAGCTATCTTAATTTCCAATCTAAGCACTGACTTCATGTCATGCTCTGCTCTGGAACTGTTAGCTCCTAAAAGCACGGCAGTATCCACCATGAACTTGTAAAGGGCGTCCCGATACTATAAGAAATAAAGAACAAAGTGACCATGACAATAGCTTATTAGAAAATATGTTTCGGAGACACGGAAGAGCAGAAATAGCAGGTGGAAATAAATGTCTTTTATTTTCACTCTGTACTCAAAGTATGGTGCAGGCATTATGCAATACCAGCCACCCACATAACACTTTGGGAGAAAAAAGAGTGATGGCTACTTGGGTACTGTTTCCTTGACAGACAGAGATGCCCAGCCATCAAGCATCAAGAGAACTAGTTTTCTGGCAACCGTCGATATTATGGATACATGAAATAACTCCAAATGAGACAAGAATAGAAAGTTAAAGGTCAGATGTCCTCTTTCCAGACAAGTGAGGCTTTAATAAAATAACGGGAAAGAACTGTTTCTAAAAGCAGGAGGCCTGATCCATAAAGAATGGTGGGAGGTGTGATTTATTCTCTTGCAACTCAATTTACCCACCTTCACACTAAGAAATAAAAGACCAGTGACAGCAGTCCTGTGTCTTTTCAGTTTTTTACAGTTTTCACAAAGCTCTGCTCCCTAGCTCAGGAAAAAAAGGAGAAAAGAGAGGAACGATGATGTGAAACCTAACAAATAGCAAACATAGAATTTCCTTCCTACATACTCATAAACCCATTTTGGGGCTACTCATATGTCATTGGGTGGGGCGGGGGTGACCTTACATCATGGGAATTAAAGAACTGCCTTAGGCCCACCTCTCATTTCAGACGTATTTGTGAGATCTCAACACACCAGGTATTAAATGACCTACTTCTCATGCATTGGGAATAAGATTTACTAACATATACCTTGCCTCTATAAGCTATTCTTACTATGTGTGTGACCTTAGGACCTATATAGTACTTAGAATATAGCAGGCCTTTAATAAATATTTGTTGAATCAGTAAGCAAGCTTTCAAAATAGTCTTAAATAGGCCAGGCGTGCTGGCTTATGCCTGTAATCCCAGCACTTTGGGACGCTGAGGCAGGCGGATCATGAGGTCAGCCTGGCCAATAAGGTGAAACTACATCTCTACTAAAAATACAAAAATTAGCCGGGTGTGGTGGCGGACGCCTGTAATCCCAGCTACTCGGGAGGCTGAGGCAGGAGAATCGCTCAAACCCAGAAGGTGGAGGTTGCAGTGAGCCGAGATTATGCCACTGCACTCCAGCCTGGGCAATAGAGGGAGACTCCGTCTCAAAAAAAAAAAAAAAAAAAAAAAAGGAAAGAAAGAAAAAAAGAAAATAGTCTTAAATAGAAATAATATTTTGCTATTCCCAGTTCAATTCAAAACAAAACATATTTATTGGCCGGATGTGGTGGCTCACGCTTGTAATTCCAACACTTTGGGAGGCCGAGGTGGGCAGATCACTTGAGGCCAGGAGTTTGGGACCAGCCTGGCCAACATAGTGAAACCCTGTCTCTACTAAAAATACAAAATTAGCCCGGCAGGGTGGTGCATGACTATAATCCCAGCTACTCGGGAGGCTGAGGTTGCTGAGAATCGCTTGAACCCAGGAGACATAGGTTGCAATGAGTTGAGATCGTGCCACTGCACTTCAGCATGGGCAACACAGCAAGACTCTATGTAAAAAGAAAAACCAAAAAACGTATTTATTGAGTACCTACTCAAATGTACAAGGTGGCTTAGTAGGCCCTCTGTGCATATGTTAGGAAAGAGTGGTACAGACAAAAATATAATAGGTGTCTGGTTCCCAAACAGTGAGGCAGATAAACATGTAATTATTAACTATAACATTAAAGACATCAAAATAACTTCCTTAATAAAGCTGCTACATGCTTGGAAACTGAAGAGCTGCAGAGAAAATCTAGCCTGGAGAAATTGGGGACATAGCATTTGAGGGAGACTGGTTCCGACGCAGTGAAGAGTCCTGTGAGGTAGGTGATACGGTTTGGCTGTGTCTCCACCCAAATCTCACCTCGAATTGTAATAATCCCCACATGTCAAGGGTAGGGCCAGGTGAATATAATTGAATCATGGGGGTGGTTTCCCCCACATATCCTCATGGTAGTGAGTAAGTCTCATGAGCTCTGATGGTTTTATAAATGGGAGTTCCCCTGCACAAGCTCTGTTGCCTGACACCACATAAGACATGACTTTGCTCCTCATTCACCTTCTGCCATGATTTTAAGGCCTCCCCAGCTATGTGGAAGTGTGAGTCAATTAAACCTCTTTCCTTCATAAATCACCAAGTCTCAGGTATGTCTTTATTAGCAGAGAGAGAATGGACTAATACAATGGGCAAGCTGCTTTTGTTGGGGGAAGAACAAATCCAGATGAGATGGGAAAGATGACTTGGGATGAAGTCATGAGGCAGCCTTGAAAGCCCTCTAAAGAATTTAGACCCTGTCTTGGGAGCAAAGGCATGCTGGGAGCAGTGCTTTGAGAACGGAACTTGCCAACTGGTGCTAAGGAGGCAATGTGATGAAGGAGAGGCAGTAACAGTTAAAAGGCTACCTGTTGTAGCCAAGGCAAGAGTTAACAAGAATCTGACCTATAGTAGTCAGGATAGAAAAGAGGGACCAAGGGGATGGAAGAGATATTTTTAAGGTGGAATCACTAGGACTTGACTGATAGGTTATGGGGGAGATGATTTTGAGCCTAGTTGCTGAGACTCCATGAAAACCAGGGGTACACCCTCCCCCACATTGGCAAATGTTCACTCTGTCTACTTTTAGGAAGGTAAACTTGCCAACCCTCTTTGACGAGTGTCCTCGGCAAGAAAGCTGCCCAGCATCTTAGTTAGCTTCCCTCCAGAGCCTTCTATGTATAGAAGTTAGTAACAGCATAGACCCAGGGGACCTAGGTCTGAGGCTTCTTTGGAAGTTCAATAAATTTTCCAAAATAAATTGAAAGTGTCAGAAATGAACCAGCTCTTTCCAATATTCAGGACACTGCTAGATTTCTAAGCCAACCCAAGAAGTCTAACTTGATTGATCCTTTCTGATTCTTATTAAACCTCCATTAACCTGGAACACCTGTTAAAAATATAGATTCTCAGACCCTACCTCAAGTCTACGAAGTCAGACTCTCCAGAGCTGTGACCCAAGAAGCAACATTTCATGAAAGACTCCCAAGTGATTCTAAAGCAGTACAATTTGGGAACCATTTGTCTCCTGGGTATCCCTTCCGACGCTTTATTTCTGCAACTGATAGTGAGTTCTCTGCACTTCTGAGGAATGAATGACTGCAAGCTCATTTCTTTGTTATTTCATTTGGGCCTGCTGTCTCCCAAGCTAGATAATAAGGGCATTGAGTACTGAGACTTGTACAGCCTTGATGAGCAGACTTCTAGAAAGACAGGGAGTGGAATTTATCTGTCTGAATAAAAGTCTTCCTGTATTGGGAATATGGTCATTGAATAGCCACACTGCTCATTTCCAATAAAGCAGCAGTGACCTTAGAACAAGTAATGGACCTGATAGCAGTCTGATAAGGCACATAGTTGAATATGAGTAAAACTTACAGACTTGGCTTCTGTACTGTTATCAAGATAGTCTTCCCTCACGGCTAGGGAGAGTGTTGCTTGGTCCAGCTGTAAAAACAAAAACAGAAAGCATTCTGCTAGCACTGTAAATTCTTACGTACCATGTTAACAAGAGTGATGAAATCGTCTGCATCCCAGCCATATTTTGAGCTCATGTCACCATTACAAAAAGAATTCAGTACACTCAGAACTACATGCAAATAGGTACTTTGGCAATGACCGATATAATAAAGTATCAGAGACCTGCCCCTGCTTTTCTAATTTATGTTTTCTAAACCTTTTGAGGTCCTATCAACACTGAATAACAACAAGTCTATTTCAGTTGGAATAGATCTTAGAGATTATTAGCTATTCCCCCTTATTCAATGGAAGGAGAAACAAAAGCCAGATAATTGATGTGACTTTCCCAAGGTAACATGATTGGGCAGAGCTCAGACTAAAATCATTGTCCCCGATCACCAGATCCAGTATTTTTCTCATTGCAGTATTTCGCAAAACGCCAATCTGGATGGAGTTGATTAACCAGACTTTTCCAACTCCTTATCTCTAAAATAACATATGGCATTGAATTTTTTTTATTTGAATGAAATCAAGTAATAATTTTGTTTTGAGAAACCTTTGCAAATGTTAGAACCCTCTCTGGAAGGTTTAGGATAAGTGATAAAAACACAAATGATAACCAGACAACTAAATAAGTAGAATTATGGTGATAGAAAAGTATAGTATAAATTCTTGAATTAAAACTTTCAGCACCTTAGGCTGGTGTGGTGGCTTACATCTGTAATCCCAGCACTTTGGGAGGCCAAGGCGGGTGGGTCACTTGAGGTCAGGAGTTCGAGACCAGGCTGGCCAACATGGTGAAACCCTGTCTCTACTAAAAATACAAAAATTAGCCGGGTGTGGTAGCGTATGGCTGTAATCCCAGTTACTTGGGAGGCTGAGGCAGGAAAATTGCTTGAACCCGGGAGGTGGTGGCTGCAGTGAGCCGAGATTGCACCACTACACTCCAGCCTGGGCAACAGAGCAAAACTCTGTCTCAGAAAAAAACAAAACAAAAAACAACTTTCAGCACCTTAAAGGTAAAGAAAAGAAAGAAGACAGTCTTTTCAAAGAGTGTGCTAGAAAAACTGGACATCCAGGCCTTGTGTGGTGGCTCACACCCATAATCCCAGCACTTTGGGAGGCCAATGCAGGCAGATCATTTGAGGCCAGGAGTTCAAGGTCAGCCTGGCCAACATGGTGAAACCCAGTCTCTACTAAAAATACAAAAATGAGCCAGGCGTGCTGGCACACACCTGTAATTCTAGCTACTTGGGAAGCTGAGGCAGGAGAATCACTTGAACCCAGGAGATGGAGGTCGCAGCGAGCTGGGATGGCGCCACTGCACTCCAGCCTGGTGACAGAGTGTGACTCCATCTCAGAGAAAGAAAAGAAAAACTGGACATCATAAGCAAAAAGAAAATAAACTTTTACCCATACCTCACACCTTATTCAAAAATTAACTGAAAATGAATCATAGCCCTAAATGTAAAACCCAAAACTATAAAACTTCTGGAAAAAAATATTGGGAAAAATTTTTGTTACTAGGAGTTAGACAAAGAGTTTTTAGACATGACAATAAAATCACAATCCTTAAAAGCAAAAATTAATAAATTAGACTTTATCAACATTGAACAAATTTGCTCTTGAAAGAAATTTAGGCTGGGCGCGGTGGCTCATGCCTGTAATCCCAGCACTTTGGGAGGCCGAGGCGGGCAGATCACGAGGTCAGGAGATCAAGACCATCCTGGCTAACACGGTGAACCTGCGTCTCTACTAAAAATACAAAAATTAGCCGGGTGTGTTGGCGGGCGCCTGTAGTCCCAGCTACTCGGGAGGCTGAGGCAGGAGAATGGCATGAACCTGGGAGGCGGAGCTTGCAGTGAGCCGAGATTACGCCACTGCACTCCAGCCTGGGGGACAAAGCGAGACTCCGTCTCGAGAAAAACAAAAAAAGAAACTTAACAGAATAAAAAGACAAGCTACAGAATGGGGAAAATATCTGAAAAATCACATATATGACAAAGGATATGTATCTAGAATACACAAAGATTCCTCGAAACTCAACCATAAGAAACAACTCAATTTAAAATTGAGCAAATGATTCTAACAGACACTTCATCGAAGAACATATGAAAATAGAAAATGAGCACATGAAAATATGCCCAACATCATTAGTCATTAGGAAAATGTAAATTAAACCCGCAATAAAACACTACTATAGATCTGTTAAAATGGAAAAAAAAAATCTGACAACTGCTGGTGGGGATGTGGAAAAGTTGAATCACTCATGTGTTGCTGGTAAGAATGCAAAATGGCACAGCCACTTTGGAAGGAAACCAATGTTACAGTTTAGTATAAAGTTCAACATACATTTACATAAGAGCCAGCAATCCTACTTCTAGGTATTTATCCAGGAAAAAAATGTAAAAGTCACACAAAAACCTGTATGTAATTTTATTCATAATCACCCAACACTGGAAACAACTCAAATGTCCTCCAACTCATGAAAGTATAAACTGTGGTATACAATGGAATACTACTCAACAATAAAAGAGAATGAACTGATACAACATGGGTGAATTTTACTTAACATCCTGAAAAAGCCAAACTTTACAGGAACAGGGAACAAAGTGATGGCTGACAGGGTTTGGGCATGAGGAGAAGGTCTGACTTAGCAAAGAGATAACATGAGGTATTTGGGGATGGATGATGGGACTATTCTATTTCTTCATTACAGTGGTGGTTACATGACTCTCTGCATTTGTCAAAACAGACAGGTACATCACAAAAAATGAATTTATGTAAATTTTAAGATACTTTAAAAACATTTCCAGCACCTTCTCTAAATCTATGGTTTGTTCTTTCTTGAGTATCAGCAACTGACTAAAGATAAACAAAATGAATCTCAAGAAGAGTAGATTTTTCCAAATTAAATCTCTAATTCACACATTAAACATTAAGCCAAAATAAGAAACAAAATCTAAATAGCAAATTAAAAATTAGTAGTATCTGAATAAAAACTGAATCCTACATGCCCATACCATTAGTTTATATGACTTTAAATTGTTTTGATCCATCTCCTCCAACTTCTTTTTCATCTTACTATAATCCTAAATATTTTATTCTTAAATACATAAATTTGTATAAGATTATAGTTTTCCATGAAACTGCCCTTAATATACAACAAATTTTACAAAGGCCACGTTAAGAATTAGTGATATTACGAAAAATTCCAGGAAAAACATAACTCTTGTTTCAAGGGAAAAAAGGCACTTTCAAAACATCCATCTTGTCCGTGTATACTGCTAAAATCCTCTAATTATTTTGTTCAGCCCTCTCTAATTGGCCTGAAACAATGAAGTCACAATTCTTCCTGGCTTTGTCCTATTGCAATTCCCAATGTGCCACTATTTCTTCCAAAAATTAAGCAAGCCATGATCATGAAACACAATATTATGATTAAGACACTCTGGCTTTCCATTAAATTTGGACCACTTGAAGAATCTTTTGAGCTTGAGTCTCATAGGAAAAGAAACTGTGTAGATACTATCAAGAAAGCCAAAGTTTCTCTCTCATGAAATAAAGTTAAATCCACTTATTGTGAAAGTTTAGATAATTCAAGTGAGGTTACCAGACCTTTTATAAACTTTCAGATTGTTATGGTTTCTAGGGAACATTTTAAACACACCAACCAACAAATTGAATAAGGTCAGTCAAATAAATCTCATTAGAAACATACAAACTGTTGAGGCAAAAGACTTTCTCATGAAGCCATCAGGACACTGTTATTTGAGATTTTTTAAATCCTTGCATTTACAACTGATCTGAATACTGTAAACAAAAAATAAAATATGTTTTTTAAGGAAATCCAACACATTTAACTGAAAAACATAAATGTTTTCTCCAATTACAACTGGCATTCCAGTGATAATAAACCTCAAGTTAGAAGACAAAGTAGTAATACAAGAAGAAAGAGCTTACAAATTATGAGGTAGGAAATGGAGTCTGGACTTCAGGTTTCAAAACGGTGGTGGAGACAGAACCTGGCTTCCCTCCCCACCCCAACATATACACAGGAAACTAAAAACAAATATACAGCACTAAGATTCTCACCAGCAATATCCCAGAACTCAAATATAAGGATGAATCAGTTGCTGAGGCCACAGAGAAGTGAAAAAGCTCCAAGCAAAGGAGAATCAAATTTCTCTATGATGCCCTTCCAACCAATCTGTCCAGCAATTAGCATGCAGAAATTTTCCCTGACACTGGAAAAACTGAGATCAAGGTGGACAACCAGCTTCCCGACCATCTTGGGTTCTTTGACAGAAGACCTGCTCATACCTTAACCCACAGAAGGCATCATGAATGCCTGAAGGGAGATATATTCCTAAAGACAGCAAGAGACAAAGAGGGGAGATGGGACTACCATACCCAGCCCTGGAAACTCTGCTCCATAACTTGGTCAAAGGAGATACCAAATCAGAGTGGCTATTCAGCAGCATTATGCTAGAGGAGATTCATTCCACAGGTCACCTGTACACCAACCGCCAACCAGCTTTTCCACACTGCCAGGATATCCTCTTTAGGATCTCCCCTATATCTGGACTGGGAGTGCTCTGATCTCTGGCTAGAGTCAAAGCAAACGTAGGTTTAAGGTGCCATTTAGTGCCAGAAAAACAGGCAAGGACCTAGTGGAGACATAGCAATATATTGCCTATCTCAATTATAAATACCTATGCATCTAACACTGGAGCACCTAAGTATATAAAGCAAACATTAATAGATCTAAAGGGAGAAGGAGACTGCAATACAATGATAGGGAACTTCAACATTCCATTCTCACTAATGGACAGATCATCTAGACAATCAACAAAGAAACATCAGCATTAAGCTAGATACTAAGCCAAATAGGCCTAACTGACATTTACAGAACATTTCACCCAATTGCTGCAGAATACATATTCTTTTTATCACCATGTGGAACATTCTCCAGAATAGATCATATT